GTGAATTCAGTCACGCTGCTCTCGCGAATCTTCCCGGAATTCGAGCACGACTGAATCAACGAGCCTTTGTTTACTTGAACGAACTGTTTTTCGAATATATGCAGCATCGAATTCTCAACACTCAATTGCCACCAACCGAAGACTGCATCCCTGGATTACCGGTAAACTATCTTTGCATCCGATGATTATCAGTCATGAATTGTTCACACCAATTGAGAAGACTTTTCGAACCTGTGCATCAGACTTGAACGCTACAATTGCTGAAGTCTTTGAATGTATCACGTTCATCTGATCAGTTGTGTGGACGATATAGAAGACTTGGAAGGAATTTAGCTGAGGACATGAGAAAGTTTATAAGAATGATGGAATTTGAATGATTATCAACTAAAGGTGTTGATCAAACACTGGATCATTTCACTAAGTGGCATGGTTTCAGCTTCCAGGATGTGTAGCAGCAAGCAATATCTATGTCTCACATTATCCACATCCACCGATTGTACGCGTCTTTCCGAACTTACCCAACAAAATCGGCATTTCTGTGCGAAATTTGGATATCGGGTAAACTTCTTTGTTCCCTTCGTAAAGACATTGCATTCACTTGACTATTCATGAAGTATGCAGAAGCCAACTTATGAAATCATTATGTCTCAATAAATCTATGAAAATGAGTGATTTCAGAATAACAGCCAATGTTAACGGCCACTTGAAATTACTTCTACCGATCCCGTTGTCAGGCATCGCTGAAATTCGCCTTTGTCAGGTTAGATGACCTCTTTTCAAGTTGATGAANAAAGTAACCGGAATGCAATCAATTTCACTGAGTGATTCAGGCCTCCCTCTTCACCGAACTAGCCGTCGAAGAGCGATGTGATCATTTGGCGATCAAAGTTGCTACGTGCAAGGCAAAAATTCAATCTGTAAATTTGCATCTGGACTGCGCCGGTACGATTGGCAAAATTTACAATCGACTTCTCAGGGTAGATTCCCAGTTATTGTCCGCTTGCCTTCAACATCACTATCCTAACCGAGGAAGTCTAATCAAGCATGGAATTGATCAGTAAACTGCTTGTTCTGTTTGTGAGCTCACTGAATTGCAATCCTGGAACGATGAAGAGGAATAAAGTCAGCCGAAATGAAAAACACTTTGAAAGAAAGGTGACGGGCATACGAGGGACGTTGGGTGAATAAATGACTTCCCGTAGACAATATCTCAAATTGTAGAGCTGGACCTGACTTGCTAGAACCCTCTGTTTACGATTGGAATACACTCAAATGCACTAAGTTCATCAGTTCACTTATAAACCATTGGAAATATCTTCACAAAAAAAATGTCGGCAATTATTGTTGCATATTATGTTCGTTATACACATTGCATTATACCTCGAAATCATAATATTACACTGATACGTGTGCACTGATAATTGCTTGACAAAATGCGTTTAGAAAGTGGTCAACGAGTTTGTACGCCAGATGATTCAAAGGAGAGCGTGTTTGTATCTGCAAGATTTTCTCGATGAAAACTTCAATTACCCATACGCTGTACCGAATCCAATGTCAATGATAGGAATGGCGCAGTTGTTCGGTGGAGTTGATGGATTTTTCAACACATTACACGTACGACCGACTGCTGTATTGCCTACGGTATGCCATTTTAATAATAAGTTCTAAATAAGCTCAGCTGAACTCAATCAGTTGATCCTCTCAATTGTTCATTATTCTTTTGATGTCCAGTTATATAAGAACATCTTTTTTAGACGTGGTCGTGTGTTTTTCTGTGGTGTTGCTTCTAAGTCAATTGCATTTTTGATTAGTTCCCCTGAAAAACGGCTACCGATGATAATTTGAACTGCATCGGCACGAAAATCGCTTGAGGAATAAGTGTTGTATTGAAAGCCATCATAATGATTCAATCAGAACATTCACTATCCACAATAGTGCTCCTTTCCATTGTTTCTCTCTACAGTGTGCCCAATCGAAGCGATGTGCCAAAGCGGCGACTGAGCCAATCCACAAACCGAAATCACTGTTATCCATTCAACAACTGTCACCACTTGCCGCTAATAGCAGTACTCCGTTAGGGTCAGCGATTGATGAACAACATGCAATTGATCGGGCAGCTTTGAAAAACAACCTAAACGGAGTTCTTAGTGTCCAGTCAAATTCGACTCAAACAGAATTACCAACTGACCTAATCATCGATCGAGTGAACGCGTCAGACACAGCAAATGCTTCAGAGGAATGGGAACAGTACCAGTTTGATGAACAACATTTCAACTCTCCGATCAGTGATAACGAACGTTTCATCTCCAGTGTTGAGAACGTAACAAGCGAGATGGCCATCAAAACACTGATTGAACTGCTTGATCTCACGAACAGCACCTACGAAAGTACTCCTGAAAGCTACACCACTTTGGAGGATATAGAAGAAATGTTGAGCAGTCAGGTGAATGATGAGGTAAGGTGAATGATCTTGAAAATGTTTTGTTCGTTTACCTCTGTCGGCACCGCTACAGAGAACTCCACAAATGATTCTCTGGGACGTCTATTTTGCTCTGAAGATCAAGTAAATAGCCCTTCTTTTATTTACCGTCTTGTAATGAATCGCCTTGAAGTGGGCAAAAATCATGATCATTGAAGGAATTGCTGCCTCAGCTTAGAATTTGGCCAATAATTCGAATTCAGTTGTAGGGTACTTAAAGAAAGCGATTGTCATGTTCCAAGTCAAATTTATTGTTTATGAGTAGGACAGTATTGACCAGTACTGATTGTTTGTTGCAGATGAATCAAAAACTTTTACACAAACTATCGGGAATGACAGCAGCAGGTGAAACTTCTCAAGCACATCAGATACTTGCCTCTCTTCAACAGATAGCTGATGTTGTTGCAAGACGTTCTAAGCGATCGTCGAAAGTCAATTCAGTTGCTGATATTGGAAAGATGAAGGCGAACAAAATACCTCAGGAAGCCGCTAGAGCACCATCAATTGAGACAACTGCGGCAATCAGTGAAACACTCGAGCAAGATACTAATTCATCGTTGACTCAAACATCCACTCAAACACCCACTATCAGTTCACAACCAATTCCCGAAACCTTCTACGTCCCTCTCAAGAATTCCTCCTCTGAACACTCTGTATTATTAAATGGTGAATTAGGAACAATCAACAAGACTCTGGTTGCTTCAACTAATCGTAGTCGAGCTCAAGGTAGTTCGGCCATAAATTTCGCTTACGTGAATGCTCTCGGCTCGAACGCTGGGATTGTCCCCTTGCAAAATGGACAGGCATGTCCTGGATGTGGTGTATTATCAAATGGTCCATTCGAGATTATGAAACGACTGATCGCAACAATGGACTTCGTAAGTTTACACTCTATCAATATATCAATCAATATGATCCTATTATCTATATCGTGGAAATGTCATTCCTGACACTATCAATCACTGCAATTCCTTGCAAGTGAATTCACTTTTTCCGCGACCAAATTGACTTCGTATCAGTTCTGATGGCGAATCAACCTTTCAGAAGCAATAACAAATGGATGCATTTGTTAACACGGATGATGATGTTAATAAGTGTTATATTCAGGTGCGGTTAAGTGATATATTCTTGTCGACGAGAGTTATGGGAGCGTTTGCAACTTGCTACGATTACACGATTGGTCTGAAAGGAGAATTCAGTATGTGCAATCTGGATCAAACACCTTTCTATGCTCCACCAATCTTCTTCCCGATATGTCCGCAGTGCATGTCACAGGCGTTGATCTCAGATTACACGATCAATACGCTACTCTTTCATGCGCACAGGTTGGATTCGTTTCATCCACAGCAATTTTCATTTTTCCACTAGCTTATCCGAGCCGACATTGGCGGGCATCAATTTTTTCTGCTCTCACTAAGAATGCTGTCCGAATTCATGGATTATTCCAAAGCGATACTAGAGTGGGAAACTGATTTGATTGAGTATAAATCCAATTTGAGTTCAGATCGAGTGAGGTGAAAAATAAATAGATAATGACCAAAGAGTGAGTGGTCGTTAGACTGAGAACGATTCCATAGATCAGTTCCAATTTTTGCTTGATCATTTCACAATGAATTCGTAGGATTGGCGCTATAAACATTCATATTGGGCCAGATACACCCGATATTGGAGTAATTATGCGAACCACGTGCAAGGTTAGTACCATACCCATTTCATGCTTTGCACAGCTTCAAAAACTAAACATTTTGCTCACTGAAAAAAAGAGATCACATCGAATGTTTCACAACAAACGAATAATCGTCATTTATTCGGGCTGAAACATATGCAATGCATATTCATTTAGAATTATTTCTTTTATCACAGGGTATCGATCCATCGGGTGTTGCTGGTGGTGGATGTCTTGGAAACTTCATTCCGGTTGCAAGCAGATTTCCGAACAAAGGACTCGCGATCAGTATTCGTACCATCCAGCCACCTGCAATACTCTTTGATAATGGTATGCACTTGCTTGCATTCCACACAAATGATTTCAACTGATTTTGCGCTGGAATGAAATATTTTTTAAAGGTTTTTCTCTGATCTATATGAGCCTGCTGATCTGACTATATTGCATGTGATTCTTGAAGAAAGTTTCTCAGATTACTTAATGATGCTTTCAACAATGACGAAAAACATAACACTTGGAGGATTCTCGCAACGCATTCTAACTTCTTGGACTGAGGCGATGATTTACGAACAACGTTCATTCGAAAAATTTGTCAGGCTCTAACCGAAGTCGATTTTAAGTCGATAAGATCATAAACTGAAGACTAATGCATACATCGCTGTGTAAGCGAGATGCACACGAATGCATCGCACTTCCACAGTGCTTACCGCAAACTTGAGTAATGAACCAAATGCTAAAGCACATACAGTGCTCTACAATGAACTGAATGCATCTTTATGCAATGCATTTTCAATTGTGAATATGCTTTTTTTAGGATGCGCAACAATGGAGTTTGTTGCAAATGCGGATATTTGCGTGACCACAACGAATCGCTGTTTTGGTGGCTTACAATTGGGCGCAGTCGAAATACAGCTGCTGATGGATGTGTGCATTGATACGGTAGCAGGACAAATCGTTGGTGCTGGAAGTGTGAGGAGGTTGAGTTTAGTCGAAAGACAGCCAACCCTGGCATTGCATCCTGGAACGTTGGATCGAATCGCGACGTTAGGTAGCGAACTGATCACAAAGGTTGCTTTTTCGCACAACTCCAATTAATTTCTTAATCAGTTGCTCTACATAAGGTTCATCGCGACCGTTTTCATGGATAATCCGCTAGATTCCTCTCAATAAATGAGAAACATAGTCGAATCGGAGTGAATAGAGCTGATTGCATTAGCCATAAAATCTTGATGGCCTGAAAAGTATGAGTAGATGAGTTGTTGTGAACAGAAAATTGTGAAACAACATTCAGCAAACAATTTGTTGTCGTACGATNAAGTGATTAAATGGTGAGTCAGTCACTACGGTTGCATGCAATGCTTTATTTCCGCCGCATGACTCCAAGCCGCGCCTTATTTATAGGATATTAGAACATACTCTATTCATAAGGTTGATCATCTTTCAATACGCTGTCACATTGCGTTCATATCTTTTCAGAGCATAAATAGCGCACTTTCGAGTGGCATCAATATACGGTCATTATACGCTGGTCCGTTGTTACTTGGCAACACCAACGTTCAAATAATTCGACACGCTCTTCACATCAGCTCTGATTTCGCCATCTCACCGTTGCTGTAATCCTTAAGCATATCATCAGTGGTTCCTGAGCTAAGAAGCTGATACTAACTGCTGTTTCCATAAGATTGTCATAGCATTATAACATTAGTATTACCTACAACTGGAATTGAACAGAACAGCCACAGTTGTGAAATTCATTACTGCATTCTAGACGATCACTGAAAATCCAGTTTCATCTGCTTAAATAACACCAAATTTCGGCCTTAAGCATAAGCGAATGAAACGAACACTCTTGCGAATGCCGCGAATGAGTTTCTTAGATTGCCTTCGAAAATAAATGCTCCATATACATTCTAGGTGCGAGATGGAGTAGAGAGAGCACAATTTGAACAGTCAGTTCACTGGCATTCATAAATGTCGTCATCAGTATTTATTCATTCATAATTTTGATTCATTCGTGTAAATAAATATGCTCATTTATGCCATGTGTGTTACATTTTTCATGCTCACCCTACCATATCATAGTCATGACTGTTTTGTCTCATTCAAGAGCACGAGTGCAATAAATCCTGTCATTACAGTTCCATTCACGGTACCATAAATAATAACTTTAGTATCATTACATACATATCGTTAGATATTTCGTGCATTTCTAGCACATGAATGCTCTCTTCATTATCCGCTTAAAGTAGACTAGAGAAAATATGAGAGAGTATTTAGATGGATACAATTTTCGGTTATATCGTAGTATATTTGATTAAACATCTACTAGATAAAGTACAAATGCGGCTGGCCAAAACTTCAGCATTTAAGTGATTTCAAAATGACGAATATCTTATTGAAAACGATATCGATAGCACATAATTGCTATATTGCGAAGCGAACGGTCGTTCTGCAGGACGGACGCGGGAGGTAAAGTAGACTCGAGAAATATTCTTTGTTAGTTTTATCTAAACTCCGATGACGCTTCACCGGAATNTGAAGGATTACAGCTATTGCGAAACTCATGATCAACTCGACTTCATGATCAACCTCTACCATAATTCGTCATCTGAAGTGAGTAAAACTTACAAACCAGTTTTAATGAACTTGTCCAAACAATATATCATATGCTATTATTGTACGCAATTATCACCTGATCAACAGTGAATTGTTTGGTAACAAAGCGGATTCTGCTATCGTTCATCGTTTGTTCAGGATCGTTTTTAACGAATCAGAACTTCAAAATGACAAATAACAATGAATGAGTTTGTAGTGAAAAGCCCAATAATGGGTAGTGAAAAAATTTTAATTTCAACTGAACGATATAATGAGTTCAGCAGGCATAAGTATAAAAGTTTTTGGGGATATATCAAGCAGTCACTTATTCACTGCTGTACGATCAAAGTGAGTGTTTCAATTGATCTGTTTGGTGTGCACTCCAGAATCAGTCATCAAAAAACAATGAGATTCATCATTATTGGTTCACTTCTTGTCACGGCCGTCATCGCTGCACCGACCATGTCTCCGAGTTTTGCGCTGATGCCCAAGTTCTTAAAAGAGGCGAAACCGGAAGCGCAACAAGAGTTCATGGCGATTGTAACGGATGAAAGCCTCACCATCAACGAGCTCGAGGAAAAACTGAATGCATGGGCTGCGAAACAAGGCGGAGATGTTGAGGTATGACCTTTGTGGGATGCCAGATGCCATCCGCTTCTGGCGTTGTTTTTCGATTTTAGTCATATTTGATGTTTTAAATGTCGAATTTACGTGAAAAAAAATCCAAATCCGGAACTTCCAGCACAAATTTTAAGCACTCCCTTATTTCGAATGCCAACCAATTGATTTAGAGTGTACAGTCAATGAATGTTTGGATGCATTGCCACTATTTAATAATCTTTTGCTTCTGCATCATCATATGCAAACATATTGGATCTCTTATGTTACATGAGTCACGAAAATCTTACGAATCCAGTTTTGTAATCAGATTGGCTCATCTCACTGGTAGTTTCATTCCAGAAGGATTATAAAATGCTTGAAGAAACTGCAAAGAAGGATGCAGATGAGCTGAATGATGCCGCAGAAAGTTCATCATCGCTTTCTCAAGCGGCTAAAGATGCTTTCAAGCACATCGACGAAATTGCGGCCGATCAAAATCAAACCGTTACGCAGCTAATCAAAACAATTGCCAACTATTGTGAAAATCTCCCCGTATCTGTTCTTGAGGAAGTAATGAATTTCGTAGGGGACAAAATGAATTTCTTAGGTTATGATGATGATGAATAAATGATTTATTGTATTATAATCACATTCAGTGAATAAAATCGTCTGCATTTTTCATCTACCATTCGCATTCCTAACACCATATTCTATTCCGCGATTTTCTACAAACATTAAAAGATGAACTCAGATATCATGCAAGCGATTTGTGAGACTGGTAGAATCTCTTCCGAATGTGGTCTATTGTGAATGGAAAATCACAGAAGAGATTGATATTTCTATGTCGGTTTTGTTTGATG